AAAAAAAAATTCACACACACACACACACACACACACACACACACACACACAATCTCCAACCACATACACAGATATTTCGTTTTTAAACTCATTTCAGTTTATTTCTTGCCACAAAATGTTCTTTAACATTTGAACTAATGAAAGAAAACTAAAAAAATAGATTGCAATAAATTACAACCTCTTAAAAACATCTTAACAGTAATTATTTAAGTGTAAGTTTTTTTTACTTTGTGAAAATATTCAACAATGCTTAAATAAAACTTAAAAAAAATATTTCTGTGCAAAAAGTGGGTTTTTAAACATGAACAACACCGAGAGGAAAAAAATAAAGGTTTGTTGATTAAGAATAAATCTCCATCAAAATCCTGTCCAGACCAACAAAATCTGAGCATTTCCCCCCTCCACCTCCCCTCCATTCAGTCAAGCCGCGCCCCACCTGCAATGGCACTGCGTCCCTTCTAGGGGGCGCGCCCCACACTTTGGGAACCACTGCTTAGCCTAACCATGACCCCTTTACCCTAAACTAACCTCACATGTACAAATTTGACCCTAAATCTAGCCTAAACTCACTTCACTTCTTGGGCCTAAACCTAACCCCCCACCCAAAATCAACATCCATGCCCATACCTCCCATGAGGAGCACTGGGTCCCCATGAGACTGTGATTTTTCTGGGAAATAGTCCCCACAATGTAGCAAAAATGTGTCCACACACACATCCTTTACTTCCATCAAACTGAGGACTTTGTATTGACCTCTATTCATTTTTGTAACTGTATTCATGCCTAACCAGGACATTTTTTAGATCAAACTTTATTCATTTCTTTAAAATAACAAAACAGATTTATATACAATAAAAACACAAATCACAAATAAAATGAAAGGTAGCAGAAAAAAAGAAAAAAATCTTAAAGTATTTGCACCTTTTTCTTCCCAAAATTAATTTTTCTCTATCCCCAACCATTAATAGTCTTTTCCTAACATTAACCAAAACCTGTCACACCACACCTCTAAACCCTGACAAGTAGAGCGCAGAACTGCAGAAAACGTGAAGACTGGGAAAATGTCCTCACTTTCCAAAAATGACCTAATTTTGTTGATTAAAAACCTTATTATGTAGCAGAAACAAGTACACACACACACACACACACACACACACACACACACACACACACACACACA